ATTTTTAATAGAAAAACACCATATATAAATTCAAATAATCATTCATCAACTGGTTCGAAATACAAGGTAAAAACATCAAAAGAATCACTACCAACATTGAATAATGTTGCCCTAGCAAGCTTATGGGTCACACAATTCACAGATCGTCTACAGAACTCGACAACAAACCTAGCTTCATTCTGAAGAATGTATCTAATATCAACAATTATAGTATCTAAATAAAAAAACTTGAGCTTTCCTACAACCTTGTCGTGATCAGTTGTGCATCTGTCTTTAACATGATATGATTCCATCATTGATTCTTCGCCCATATGAGTGTCGCTCAAACACCAAGTGCCTCTGTAATGCTTGTCGACCAGTCTGCCGTTTGAGATTCCCATCCACCTCGAATACACTTGCCGTTGTGGTCTCTTGCAATCCATCCCCAAGCTCGGCTTCTCTGAAGATCATGAATAGCTCCATCAACATTGATCTTGATGGTTCTGGCAGCCGGTCTAGTTCAATGGGTCTCGACTACCGTCATTTCTCTACTTGTCCTCGTGGTGCCCTGTGCAGTTGGCCATCCTCGAAGTATAAAACCTTCCATATTTATCATATGTGAAACATCAAAACATTGGTTATTCCATACCACCTCGTTACATTCCTTCCATATACCTCACATGAGTAATAAATCTGCATAGATCCTCCTCTTTCAAAGTACTGAAAAGTTTGCGCACCCACTTCTACCAAGAAGACGCAGGCCGTTGGAAGTCAGTCTGGGATTTTCCCAAACTAAAGCTGCAGCCTGACAATCCTTTAAAAGATGAGTCACAGTCTTGTCTTCCTCGTTACATAGCTTACAATCACCTGGTATCTCCACCTTTCATTTTCTCAGCTTACCTGCCGCTGACAGAACATTTGTCATCACTTGTCAAAAGAAGTGCTTTATTTTAGGTGGAATAAAAAATCCCACATGTTGGTCCAACTCACCCAAGCATTCACCTCCACCTCACCAATCAGCTTTCTGTATCATGAGTTAACTGTATACTGCCCTCATGAATCCCCATTCCACCAGTAGCCATCCTTTACCTCCCTACGGTTGAGTGGAATACTTAAAATTGTTAACATATCCCGATCATTAAAAACATATCTAATCCTTTCCAGATGCAATCCCAACTAGTCCTCTTTGATTAAAGCTGCCACATTCATGTCATGAACTCCATTAGACTTATTTGAAGTAACCAAACTTGTTCCTTCCCCTGGTAATCACCTGTCATTCCAGATCAAAATAACCTGACCATTACCCACTTTCCTCCTTGTCCCCTCTCAAATAACCTTCTGAGCTTCAAGTATGCTTCGCCATATAAAAGAAGGATTACTCCCCAGCTTGGCATCCAGAAAAGAAGATTTGGGGAAATATTGGGCTTTAAATTAAAGACCTTACCAACCAGTAACTCCAGATCAATAGTGAATCACCAAGCTTGCTTTCCCAACATAACAATATTATATTTTCTTACTGAAGGATACCTCAACCCACCTTTAGATTTGGGATTGCATAAAGCTTTCCAAGATTTCCAACATATGCCACGTCCCTGTAGATCCTTTCCCTACCACTAATATCCATTCATTAAGCTTTCTATCTCTGAGCACAAATCCAGGGGTAGAAGGAACACGTTCATGACATAGGAAGGCATTGTCTGAATGACCGTTTTCAAAAGTATCTTCCTTCCTACTTTTGAAAAAAATCTATTGTTCGAACTCGTTATGTTCTTTAGAATTCTCTCTCTCAAATATTTCAAGATCATTGTCTTTCACCGTTCCACTAGCGTAGGTAATCCCATGTAGCGGGTACACATCTCTCCGGTTGAAACTCCTAGAGAAATGCATATTCTGTCTTTCACCTGAATCTGGACATTGGGGTTAAAAGAAATTGAGGATTTAGCAAAATTTGTTTTCTGTCTCGAGGCACACTCATACGTTTGTAAAAAAAAATTAATCACCAGACTTTCCACGTCACTTGCCCTAAATAAAAGGAAGCCGTCATCTGCAAAAACAAGGTGGGATATGCTCGGTGCTCCCCTAGCCACCAAAACACCGTGGATCCTTCCCAGGCACTCATAATTTCTAATAAGTTGGCCCAAGCCCTCAGTAAGAAGAATAAACAAATAAGGACAAAAAGAGGGTCCCCCTGACACAGTCCCCTTTGAGGTCTGATCAGCCCAATAGGATTACCATCGAAAGGGATACAATACACCACACGGCCACACCCTCCACACAAGCATGGATCAGTCAAATCAGCTTTGCAACAAAACCCATATAACTTCCATCACCTTAAAAAGAAAATCTCATTCCACACTATCACAGGCTTTACTCATATCCAATTTCAGAGCAACATAACCTTCTTTACCTTGGGATTTCCCTTTTTAGGTAGTGATGTGTTTCAAAGGCTATCATAATGTTATCCACTATAGATCTACCCGGAAAGAAATCACTTTGAGTGTTGGAAACAAGGCGGTTTAAGCATCCTTTTAGCCGGTTTGCCATAAGTTTAGAAAAAATCTTATAAACAACAGAACACAAAGCAATATGCCTCCAATCGCCCATATTTTCAGGACTCACTTTTTTAGGTATGAGGACCATATTGGTGGCATTGATCCCAACAGGGAGATAACCACCCTCAAAAATGTTTTTGCAATAATAAAAAATATCATGACCCACAATATCCCAATAATGCGGGAAAAACATGGATTAAGGCTGTGAGGCCTTAGACCTTTGTCGGGATGCATAGAAAAAACCGATTTCTTGACATTCTCTATCGTGATTGGTCTGAGTAAGCTATCATTATCACTACTTGGAACTCGTGCCAAGCCCTGTTAATCCTCTTGTCTCACTCTGGCTCCATCTGATGTAAATAGCCCTTGAAAATATTCTTGTATCAGAAAATTTAGTTATCCCCTATCACGCACCCACCTACCATCAGAACTCTTGAGCCCTTTCAAAGTATTTATACGCCTTCGTTGCTTCATTGAATTATGAAAGCACTAGGTATTGACATCTCCTTGTTTCTGTCAGAACTCCTTTGCTCATTGTTTCTAGAAATCATTTTGTTGTTTTAGGATATCGATCAAGACCACTTTCACTCTCCTGAACTCATCTGCACTTCTCATATCATACATATTCCACAGGTAAGCCAGTCTGTACCTACACCGATTGATCCTAGCTTGAAACCCAAACTTCCTCTCTTCCTACATACTCCAACACTTTAAAGCTTTACCACTATCACTAATACACAATCAAATACTCCGTTGCAGTCTGCCTTCCGAACTCGGTCGCATTACCACTTTGTAATCCTTGTCTTTCGGCCAAATATTTTCAAACTTGAAGACTTTTGTAAAGTGTCGCTTGGTTAGGTAATCAAACAAAATGAATAGCATAAGATGGTCGTTGAACAGTCCTTCTAGAGAGAAGGCTTGAATCTCTTAGAAGGTGTCTAACCAACCACCATTGGTAAAAAATCTGTCCAATTTTTCTTCAATCCACCAACTTGTTCTTTTACCCCTTTCCCAGGTCCACTGATATCCATCAAAAGGAACATTACAGAGGTCGCTCCCACAAATTGTCTCTCGGGATTCCATTAATGAGCCGATTGGGCTGCAGTGTACGACCTCTTCTCTCGTTTGCATGGAGAATATCCATAAAATCACCTAACATGAGCCATGGCTAGTTGCTCTGTCTAGAGAGATCCCGAATAAGATTCCATGATTCCCTACGTCGACTGCGTTCTGGGAACCCGTAAAAACTCTTAAACCTCCATGTTGGATCTCCCTCTTCTAATTTGATATGGCAGTCAACACAAGTCGTCAGCCCATGCCTCAATCGATAATATACATCCTCACCCCACCATAAGCTCAAACCCCCACTGATCCCCTGACTATTGACAGAAAGCCATGCCAAAAACCCAGTTGTTGACGAACTAAGTCGCATCTACCTAATTGGACAGCTTTAGTTTCCATCAGAAACACAATTTGTGGCTTCTTCTCACACACCAAATCTGCCAGAACCTAGACAATGGCCAAATTACCCAGGGCTCTACACTTCCAACAAACGATACTCATTCCAACAAACGTCATGCACTGTTAGCAAGGACCTGTTTTGTTGTGTGGTACGCTTGCTGCAATCAAGAGAAGAAAACTCCCATAAAATTCCATGGAGTGGACTAGAAGAAAGCCCACGCTGAATCCTACGCTTGGTCCGTGTCTCTTCCCCTTCCTATACGTCTGGCCGCTAGCCTCCTTTGTTCTCGTGATCAATCTCCGGTGATAGCTACCAAAGGCGGCGGCCACACTAGGGTTTACGTCATGATCTCTTCCCTCCGCTTAATCTTCACGAATTAATAAAAGGACAGTGAGAACTAAAGGAAAAATATAAATATAACTATGTATGTTAAAAATTGATGCTTCATTTTTTAATAGGGCAATTAATTTAGTCAACAATAACTATCTCCTTCATCCCAACTTAAGATTTCCAACTTTTCTTTTTTGAACGTTTTAGATAAAGGTTCTCAACTCTATTTTAGAAAATAATTATCACTTTAAAATGATATTTAATCATCAAATACAAAAAATAATGCATCTATAATATTTCATTTATCACTAATGAACTCATTATATTATATACCCATAAAAATTCAAAATATACTCAATTTATCTTATTCAATTATTGTTTAAATAATCGTGTCATTTTTATCATGAGAAATACTCCGTACTAGAAATGAAAAAAGCATGGAAAGCTCACTCGGCGCTGCAACCGGCCTACCACACTGACATACGTGTATAAAATCGTACTATTCATAGGAAAGATGACAAGATCATATTTCATGTGATTTTTAATTTTTTAATGCAACATTTTCATTTTCTTGTTTTAGAACATAATATTTTGATTATTAATGTACGGAGTATTTGGTTATATATTAGTAACAATAAGGGGTAATTTGAGTTTGCATCTCATATTATTGTCTAAATTGGACTTTGCACCCCGTTTTTTGGGATTTAGGCTTGGATGTTGTTGTTGGACTTTGCACCCCGTTTTTAAAAATCTTTGATTTTGCTCCCCAACCCCATATGAAAAGACTAAAATGCCCCTCCATTAACAATTCTATTGACCTTCAACATATTCCTGATTGAGGGCATTTTTGTCTTTGCATATGGGGATGGGGTGCAAAAACAAAGATTTTTAAAAACGGGGTGCAAAGTCTAATTTAGACAATAATAAGGGGTGCAAACTTAAATTACCCCTAACAATAATTATCATTTTGTCTAATTTTCTCTAGTTTCTTTTATTCTTAGCTCCTCAATAGAAAATAGAGAAAAGTGTCTGATGAGTATATCAAGTTGGGAGTTGTGGAGTAAGGATGTTTTTACTTAGACTACAATTTGCTGGTCTAATTTGGTCTGATCTAATCTGATCTGAACTGGTCTAGTTTGGTAAATGTCTGATCTCTTTTTATAACTATCCATGTCTAGCTGATATGGTCTAACTGGTCTGGTACGATCTGGTCTGAGACTGAAAATAGTCCAAGTAAAAATATCATAAAGAGTACACAATAGTGTAACTGTGATTCAGAGGTACATAAAATTAAAAAATCAATGTTAATTTAGTACCAACTTGTATTAGCATGTTTAAAACACTTACTTGGCTGACGAATTAGGCATATAAAAGTCACCTCATCAGCAAAATAAAACCTTAAATGTACTGGTGGAGCTATTTGAAGTACTCGGATGTTGGGGTGGAGGGTGGAAATATTTCCAATTCCAGCCGGAGGAAGCTCTTGAGGGATAATTTGCCGTGGCATATGGGTGGCCAAAAAAATTGTTATTGGTCGGTGTGGTGAGAGGGTGGAATCGGAGTGGATGTGGAGGAGTTTCATGGTGAGTTATTTCTGGCGGGGTTTTGATAACCGGGGCAACTAGTCGCATTGGAGGGGAGAGAGTTGACGACTGAGGGAGAACGGGAGTGGGAGAAGTACTGCGGCAGTGGCTCTTCTAGTTTGTGAATTGATAGATATGGTGAAGGGATGCACACCAGCAGCAAGCGAAGAGTCTTGATGGTGGCAGAAGCGGAACTGCAGGAGTTCGGAGGAAAATGGAGGGTGTCACGTCAGAGTCGTAGAAAGATTTCTCAACGGAGAAGGAAACCAGGGCAGAGCCGGTTATCCAGAGGGAGCGGCAGTAATTCGAGTGGACAGCAACTGAGGGTTGGACTTCACCGTTTACTGCACAAACGCTAATTATTGCCAAGTCAGCGTTTTAAACATGATAATAGAAGTTCGTACTAAATTAACACTGATTTTTCAATTTTATGTAACTCTGAATTAGAGTTGCATTATTGTTTACTCTTTACTCCATAGCTCCCAACTTGATGTACTCATTTCACACATATCATATACTATGGGAACTTCAGACGTTAGTTATATGGCAGGTTTAGAGTTGCTATTGTTGGACATAATTCCACATCCTGGAACGTGTCACTTTTTAACCGAATGGAATCACCCATTACGTTGCAACATTCACATTACTGCACTAAAATTTAAAAATGGTATTCACATCTGTAAATGCATAAACATTAAATGGTAAAAAAAACACCAAAATAAATTCCAAAATTTGGTAACAGCGTAGTTTCCTAACGCAAAGCAAAAAAAATCTTTATAACAAATGATTTCAGAAACTACTGTTGGAATATTTATTCAATATGAACAGCCTTAAGTTTTCACTGAAGTGATGGATACATGTTCATATACTTCCCAGGCATACATATTTCCCAGGCATTTATGCTAAATCACCATGTTCATATACTTCCCAGGCATACATATTTCATCTGCACAGAGAAAAAATAAGACCCCAGGCTTAGTGATGGATCCATGAGGGGAATCAACTCGTACTATCCTCGTATACCCAATCTCATCAGATGCAATTCGTATGTTCTAACCATGAAATTAAAATAGTACAAATAAATGGTGCAGAATCATGATCTGCCCATTATTATACTCCTTCAACCCCGAAAAGGTTCGTCATTTGACTAATTTCTTGTATTTTTTCAATTTTGTGTACCAAATTTTTATCACAATCAAAGTAAATTTCTGATTTTAGTGTCAACGGTCATTTTATGTAATTGAAAATAACATGTGTCAATGGGGCTTGAAAATAAGGTTCAAGTTAGGATGTGTGAAATGCACACTCGTATATAAAGAACAATTTTAATCTAGAAACGCATACAGAATTTGGATTTGGAATCCGATGAAACTCGTAGTGGAACTTGCACTAGACCCCTTTGTGGTTCTGGACAGAGGTCATGGGCAGTTTTAGGTGGAACTTGTATATAAAGAACAATTTTAATCTAGAAACGCATACAGAATTTTGGATTTGGAATGCAATGAAACTCGTAGTGGAACTTGCAGTATTCCCACAAACTGTTTTTTAAGTGCTTCCAACGGCTATTGTGTGAATATATCCAATTTTTGGACAGAAGGGACATAGATAGAAAACTTGCCCTCATTGTTTTGGCATTCAAAGCAAGAAAACATTAAATATACTCTTTACTTTGTGCTCTTGATTTTGTGCCTAAATTCTTTATTGTCCTTGAGGATTATCCAAGTTTGAATTTTTTGTAACCCACTAACCCAGACATGCAGGTGAAATATCAATCAGGAAAGTGAACGTATACGATCCCTAAACAATCCAAGTATTTTTCCCTAATATATACTCCCTCCGTCCCCCAATTAAGTTCCCGGTTTGACTTCACACGTATTAAGAAAATAAATTTGACTTTACTGTGGAGTGCACTGTTTTGCACTGTTCAAACACTGTTTGACACTGTTTGGTACTGTTTTGCACTGTTTGACATTGTTTTGATGTAGATAATTTGCCAAATAAGGAAAGTAAGGAAGTGTGAACTTAATTTAGAGACTGTCCAAAAAGGAAAGTGGTAACTTAATTAGGGGACGGAGGGAGTATATAAGTGTGGGAGAAATACCGAAACTTCAGTACACTGCACTTATTGAAAGTTTTGGTATACCCACATTTTCGATACGGTATGATATCGGCATATATTTTAAAAATTCTCGTTAAGCAGATATACTATTATACCAAAAGTCTAATCCAATAGTTTTTTTTAAATATAAAAATGACTAGAAACACAACATCAATTAAGGATAAATGACTTTATATTCATGTTGTTTAAATTATTTTTATTTTCATTGAAGATAGCTATTGTTTTATTTATATATCTATATTGTTTATAGGTGAACGTGTTTTTTAATATGTGATATGTTGAGATGTTGAATGATTTTTTAAAAATGTTGAAAGATAACTATAATAATTATTGTAAAAAAATTGAATAGGACATCAATAGGTACTGACTTGCTATATTAAAATTCCATTATGACATTATATATTACGGATACCGCAATTTATACATTTGAATATAACTTTTACTGTAGTTTCTTAACATGCCAAGGTTAACTATTAATACTAAATTTAGTATTACTCCGTGTGTTAGGGGGAGTTGACTTTAATTTCAGAGAAAGTTAACTAGTAAAGGAAATAGATGGAGGTAGTCATAAATATCATAAAGTAATGGTGTATACATACTTCAAGGTATTCATCCATCCCATACTTCGAACCTTCTCGGCCCAGACCTGACTGTTTCATGCCACCAAATGGAGCAACCTACATCAAAAGAAAAGCCATATGAAAGTTCTTCCCCTTTGTAAATAGACGAATATCAAAAGAGATGACCAACCTCAGTTGAAACTAGTCCTTCATTCACTCCAACAATTCCATATTCAAGAGCTTCTGTGACTCGCCAAGATCGCCTAATGTTTGTCGTAAATATATATGCAGCTAGGCCTAAAATTGAAATAAAGTACACTTAGTCTTTGTTCAACCCTAACATACCTGGTTAACCCTAAATGACCAGAGCCCAAATCTGTATAAGAGTAGCACCAACTACATCACGCCTGTATAAACATATGTTCCTTGTAATGAGTTGATACATCAATTAATATAATTCATCTCTACTAGTCTACTACATTTATACATAGTAGAAGAACCATGTCTCTTTGGGATGAATTTAGCATATGTAAAGCCAAACCATCTTTTTGTGACTGTTTATTGTTATAGCATTTTATGGTGCTTTTCTGTTGAAAATCGCATCCTACACAAAGCTCAGATAATAGTCATAAATATTTTTCCAAAATCTCATCAAAGGAGAAGAAAATGCCAGTTGCTGTTGGAGATGTACCTACAAGACAATGTGAAAAGTGCATTGTCATCTACCACTGCTAAAAGAGCCACACACCACTACTATTGGAGTTTCTACTCAATTTGCACACCTCAGCTTAGTTAGTTTTTTCTTTTTTTTTTGCAAACAAGCCATGCCAGAGCCCTCACTTTCTCACCTCAAACATATTCATAGAGATATAGTTTAATACATCGCTAACAACTTTAAGAGGAGCCATGTGATGAAGAAAGGAAACACAATAAATGATAACGCAATTAGGCCATTTAGATTTCATTCCCATCTAGACTAGTTACACAAAACAATTATGTGACACAAACCTGCATTGGTGTCATTTGCCATATGGATAGCCTCGGCCTCGGTTTTGAATTTCAAAAGAGGTGCAACTGGCCCAAATATTTCATCCCTGAATTATGAATAAAAAATCGAAGTTACTTAAAACCCTTAACTATCACCTCCAAGTTAATGTAAGCTAAAATATGTAGAAGAGCAAGAGAAGAAATGTATTTGACGCATTAATATGCTTTATTCTCACATTCCATACATCAGGACCCCATAAATACATAGATGTATAGAGTACATCAAAGGTCGAGGGAAACCTACACGCCATATCAATGGTTAAGTATGTAAAGCACATGCTAAAATTTCACTTCCCCTCAGGTTGGAATGCATAGCAAACTTTACCTACCTCACTGAGAAAACATTAACTTTTGGAACCACTGATCTCATTCGTAACTCACAAACATGTTTCTCTGTCGACATTCTTACTTTTAATACCAAATATCTTTCTCTCTCACAAACATCTCTCAAGCCAGTTGTTGTCTTACAACGTCTAACAGCTTGTCCACTTATGTCAATCGCGTGTCTTTTCGTCGGTCCTTGCCAGTCCCTACCTGGCCGCTGGTTTACTTGCCGGTCGTCAACCTTGTGTCATTCCCCACTCTCCTTTGCCAGTCGCCGGTTTTATAATACCCCTTACTGGTCAACCTTTCTGAATGCAAATACTCTATACTCTATACACAAACACTTAGATCCACATTGGTTGTAATAAAGATTCATTCGAGAACAACTAGTATACCTTGAGAGAAGCATCTCACTCTTGACATCAGTAATCACAGTAGGCTGATAGAATGTCATGCCAAGACTATGTCTCTTGCCCCCAACTATGATTTTAGCCCCCTTACAGCAACAAAGTATACTTTTTTATTAGGGAAATGATTGTAGACATTCCACAGAAATATCAAAAACTGTTGAGTTCATAAGAGAACAGAGTAGCTATGCAAGGTATAGTTAATGAAAAGCAAACAGAAATTGAAACCAAAATGTTAGTCTAAACTCTAAAATGACTAACCACTCAGTAGTTAAAACATTTGATTTTTCACCATTGACATACCTTAGAAATGGCTTCCTGCACAAACTTTTCGACCTGTAATAATCATAAACTTGTCACATAGCCATATAGGGTAGATGAATCCATTGCCATAAGCAATAGAAAATGGGATGACTGAAGAAAAATGACCTTTTGTACTGCTGCTTCATTAATTAGAGGGCCCTGCAAAAAATGAGCAATTTACATGCAAGCTACAAAAACTAATGGTGAAAACAAACTACAATGCTAAAACCGATGTTCACCCAAAGAGAGCAGAACATAAAGGAAATGTTTTCAAGACTACAGTTCAACAATACAAAGTGTAGTAACGTAGTTAGTTTATAATGGTGAAGATAAACTAAGCTGTGAAGTGACTTAGGAAACCATTTTCTCAGAGATCCATCAACCTGCATAACGCCTTCACCAAAACCATCACCAACTTTCAAGTCTTGTACAGCATTTGAAAACGCTTCCACAAATTTGTCATAAATCCCTAAAAATGAATTGAAGAGATACCACAATATGATTTCCGAAGGGTCAACAACAACTATAAAAAAAACATCATTCCACTATTACTTTATAAATCTGCCTGTAATTAACAATGTATGCGGTGAATCAGGTTATCAGGATGATCTTTTCAGCTTATACCTTCCTGAACAAGCACTCTGTTTGCACAGACACACGTTTGTCCACTATTGCGGAATTTTGTTGCCAGCTGCTCATAAGAAAGGAGCATATAATATTATTAATATGGAAGCAAAAATGTTAACCAAGCACAGAAGAACTTTATAAATTGTTATTTAAAATAAATAAATGCACGGTATCAACTACTCTATTATTTAAGAGCTAGTGCTTATGGAGTAAAGTTACAATTGTGAATTTTACTGTGTGAACACGCTAAATCAGAATTTGCCTTCCAATCTATGAGATTCTATAATGTTTCACCGGAGTTGCATATAATACAAGTTCATCTAACTATTTTCAATGGAAAATAGCTGCAAGCCTGAAAACCACTTCTCTTAAAATGTAAGCATGTAAAAGAAATTTTAATTGAAAATTAAATATTAAAAGATGGAATTATGTGTTGCTTAAACTTACAGTTCCTCTCAAGGCTACATCAAGGTCAGCATCATCAAAGATTATGCATGGTGCATTACCACCGAGCTCAAGTGACACCTATAGCACACACAGACACAACTGAGTCATATTAAGGCACTTTATTTCAAACTAAACATCATAGACAATAAATACATGTACGCACCTTTTTAACTGTGGCAGCAGAACCAGCCATCAATTTCTTTCCAACAGCTGTTGAGCCTGTAAATGTAATCTTCCTCACCTATTTTTAATAAACAGACAGTAATGAACAAATTAAAAAAAATGTCTTCAATATATCATTCAAAATATACTGCATTACATAACCCATAAAATGCATATTTTAACACTGAAAGACCTGTGGGCTTGCAAGCAAAGCATCCCCAATATCCGCAGCATTTCCCATTACAACATTTATCACACCCTAAACAACAGAGGTAACACATGTTAAAACAGAACAGACAAGACAAGGGAGCAGAAGGCTGAACATCTTAAAAACATAAAAGATGAGCATTTCCTGATCAGGCATTAAGTTAGTATATACTATATAGCTAACTTTTTAACAGGTAGGTTTTGCAAACATGTGAGACAGAATATTTTTCATTATCACTTAAAAGTCACTAGATATGAGTATATGACACCAAGCATTTTGCACTTCTATATTTCCAATATGTAAAAGGTGATTACTGATTAGAAAAATGGAATGATAAGTTTTCTGCTATAGGCGGCATGCCAGTGTCCAAATTTACCGGTGGTATTCCAGCTTGCAAAGACAGTTCAGCTGCTGCTAAGGCAGTCAAGGGTGTAAGCTCAGATGGCTTTATGACCACTGTACAACCACAGGCAATAGCCGGACCAACCTGATAAGAATATGCAATCAGATTTATGGTTTGCATACAGTACTGCACTTAGTTGTTAGTTTCTTAACACCAAAAGAAACAAAGACACGATAGTGGAAAAAGGCTAAGAAGCCAACTTGAAAGCCTACCTTTCGAGTGATCATAGCCAACGGGAAATTCCAGGGTGTAACTGCACCAACAACACCTACCGGCTGCAACAAAAAACCCCTCTCTTTACTATAAGTAACGTTATAACGATTGGGATTATTAGAGGTGCACTTGTTAAAAGGCATTAGTAGATAAGTAAAGTTACAGTGTTACACAGCTCCTATTACATATATGCATTAGCAGTAGTAGTAGTAATGCAATATGCAGTCACAATAAACCAGTTTTCTGATATGACCCAGAAGCGTCACAAGCTATGGTCTTTTTAAGTAAGATAGAACAAAATTCTATAAATTTGTGGTTGGAATTTTATTGAAATCCTCAACTCCCGAGGTTTTGGATTTCTTGAGATCTGATATGTCCGGATTGAATTGTAAAAATTCAACTAGCATTCCTCAATGGAAAGTCCGTGTTTCCACTTGAAGGACAATACGAAGTTCAACCATAAACAAGTGCCTCGAAGTCTGAAACTAGGGCTGCACAAAAATAGCCCCAACCCGCACTACCTGGCCGACCCAACCCTATCCAGCCATTTTTAGTCAGTTATAAACCTGCACATAATGGGTAGGGTTGCGGAAGTAGAAGCCTCAAAACCGATGTTACCCGATATAAAGGTACCTTTGCTACTCTTCGATGACATTCCTTTCAATTTTCACCCTTAGAAGTTGAAAATATAGTCCTTTATTCTCCTATTACTTTGTCACAATACTTTGTGAGATGATTTCTTGTTAAAGAATGATATGCTCACTTATAAACTAGAGTTATCAATATTTACCATTTTTCTAAGTGATTTACTACCTACGTCCCAAAAAACTTTGCCATCTCGTAAAGTTCGGACCATGATTATGATTATATAATAATATAGAAGTTATAAATTATATACTTTTATGAAAACACTTTAAAAAAGAACATTTTCATATCATTTTACATTATGAATATATCATTTTCATTTACCCCAGTGCCGCAAAGGCTCCCACCTACGGTGGGGTAAGGGGGGGTCGGGTGTACGCAGTTTTACCCCTATACTAAAGCTCAGAGAGACTGTTTCCGGATGACCCATAGTGAAAATCGCGTCCAAAATTGCATGGACTGACTGCTGCTCCATAACAAAGAAGCGCGGACAGTTTAGTGAGCAATTTTGCTTTATTCCATCATAATCTCAAGCCAAAAAATAATGAATCTTTGGCTCCATTGCAAATGATGGAAAAATCATTTTACATTATGAATAATTTTTAAAAATATATAGTTTGTCAAAGTTTTAAAGTTGGCAAAGTTTTTGGGAAGGAGGTAGTATAACATTAAGTGTTGTTATGGCGGGGTTTCGTGGCGTGGCGCCACAGCTCTGTGGTGACATTGCAGCGATACGTGGACATAAGTACAATATTAATGACATATTTTGTATACCACATGGCACCATGGCGTCCCGATTAGCCTCAAGTCTTGTGGCGTCGCCGCATCAACGCTATGTTAAATCTATTAACATTTATATTTGTTTATATTGTTAAATCTATTTCATAATCGATTTTTAAAAAATAGTTAAATAGACTTCTTAATGGGAAGGACAACTATATTCCAACTTAATGATTAAGTCAATTTTTTACTCAATGAATAAGTCATGCTTTCAATTAAGTGACATAAACATGACTTAATGACTGAACGATTGAACGATTAAGTCGTTATTCTCATTACCTCCATTAAGACAAAAGTAAACGGCCCCTAACTGGGAAACAAACTAACTAAGCTAACAGAGCCAAAACTAACAAGGGAAGCCACACCAGTTAAAGCCTTGGACAGAAAGAAAAAATACGGAATAAAAATGAATAGTTAATAAGAAACAATGTTTTTGCACATAGTCTCTTGGATGTATCGTTACTCCCCTCCATGGTATTGATATGAGCAAGGAAACCTTGTATTATGATTATTATTACTATTATTATTCCTATGTCTGCTTTAGGCAGCTTTTTAATTAGTGTTTCTCTCCTTTTATAAGTATTCTTTTCCTGCTTTAGGCAACTTATTAATTAGCATAATTTCCTTTTATAATTAGGACTCGTAATAGATATATAAGGGTCAAGAGTACTATTCAATAAACAACTTTTGAAGAATTAATTTTAGGTATCTTGACAAGGTCGGACACCGATTAATTCTAGCTTAGGCTTATTTTATTATTTCTTTATCATATTTTCTATTCCCTAGATCCGAAACGAGATCCCAACCAGGCTAATAACAGATATCAACCTTGTGAGCAAGACCAATTGAAGTGTGCCAACACCTGTTGAAGTGTGCCATCCCTGGTAAGGAACACCTTCCGATAGTTTTGATAGATTCGTCCTCGCGCACTGGTGTGAAGACCATTTCTTGTTCATCCCCGGTGACATAAGAGTTGTTTGCAACGATGTCCCACAAAACCATGTTTAGCCGCAATAAGAAATGCCCTTTTCGTTGGGTTCTTCTTGCTTGCTAGGAGAGAATGTTGAACTGGTGGTGTTCCAGGCTCCAGTTTGGGTACACTTGGCTATGTGAAATTCAGGATCTGGTGGAACAAGGTAGACATTGTTGTTCTGCACTTGGATTAGAGTTGGTAGCATACATTACTGTTCGAGTGTATTTAGCTAGAGTGAGACTCATCAGCTAGAGTCTGTAGGAAACTCCCTTATCATACAGATGGCACCTGGTTGAGTGCATTTCTACATCAATATGTAAGAGCTCATCGACGATCAAATCACAGAGTGTCAACCCAGGCCAAAAGAGTCCATATCCTCCACATATGTATTTGTATCAACCTCATTCCACGTTGTTTTAAGTTAGTTAGTTCGCTTAATTTAGTTAGACTCTACTCTACCTGTAGAGTGTAGACTCAAGTAAAGTGAAGTAAAAGTTTTAGGTTGTAGATGCTAGAGTATAGCCCAAAAGTTGAACTTATAGTTCATTCAAGTTGTTCCATTCAAAGTACAAGTGATGTGAAATGAAGTTCAAGAATTCAAATCTCCAGTATTGACATTCAAATCTCCAGTATCAAAGTTAAGAAAATATGAAGCTTAACTTGAGAGGGAGTTATAGTATAGTAAACAACATTAGGACTTAGAAACCCTAGAGTCTGAGTTAACACTTATGATCACCTAGGATGGTGAGGGTTTTGGAATCCAAGTCTATATATAACAACGACATCATTACCCTAGTGCCACAAAGGCTCCCACCTACGGTGGGGTAAGGGGGTCGGGTGTAAGCAGCCTTACCCCTGTACTAAAGCACAGAGAAACTGTTTCAAGATGACCCGTGATGAAAATCACATCGAAAATTGCATGGATTAATTGCTGCTTCACAACAAAGAAGCCAAAGAAGCGCAGACAGTTTAGTTAGCCATTTTTCTTTATACTATCACATTTCCGAGCTAAGTCAATATCTTAATATCTTAATATAAATTTGAGATTTTATAAAATGGATGGAATACATATAATAGGTATCCGTTTAACATTTCAAAAGCCCATTAAAGGCCCCTGGTCATTTAGTTCACACTAATAACACTAATATGCATGACATCTGACTCCATCATGTACCAATATGTGTATCAATTGTACCAGATTGTTAGCAAACACCTTAAATGTTGCGACACAGTCCATCAATGATGTGAACTTGGAATGGTCTGTTGTCAAAGGATTGCCATGAAACTGGCAATTAAACCAAATGATATGACCGAGACACGTCATAGGGTGTTTACTGTTTATTGGTTAGCGAAGAAGATGGAACAAAAGTGTATAGATTTGTTGCTAGATTGGATTTTGTGAGATCCTAAAACTCCCGAATGTAATCATTTATTGATACATTTCTACATGCATTCCTCGGACTGAGTCCAACTTTTATCAAAGGAGAATACGAAGTCCACGAAATAGAAGATCGGAAAACAAATTGACTAAAATGAAACGAATGAGGAATCAAGCACCAAGAGAAAACCTCGACTAGTAAGAAAACATATGCGAACTAATAAGAAAAAAATGATTCCTTTTGGCGGTAGCCATGCGATGTGACATTTTCTAGGATGCTGCGCAAGAAAACCATAATGGTAAAACTCTAATAGCTGGAATGTACCATATGTGAGATAGGACTTTAACTGTATTTGAGCCCCTTTAACCCCTATTTTCAGTTTATAAGCCAACTTTTTTTCCCTTGTTTTTTATCCTTATATATGTAAACATTATTTGTGTCCTTTTTATTTTTCATTTTTATGTATATTCATCTCTTTTTATATTATCTTTTTATAATAGCTTATCTTTTTAATCTTTATTTTCTTTCTTTTCCTTTTGGTGGTGATATCATGTATCGATTCATGTTAGCCGACCCCAATATCTTTTGGGACTAAGGCTTGGATGTTGTTGCTGCTGTTGTTGTTGCGCTAAATTGTGTAGTAATCAAAATAAGTAAGGTTGGAGTTACTCTTTTACTGAATTGGCCGATGTTCCTGTTGAGGAAATTTTTTACTATTTTTCATACAATTTTATCTTTATTTTATTAATAAAATATATTTCAAATATAAATTTTCCATAATTCAATAGATTTAGACAATTCAGTTGGAATTTCATCAATTTTAGCAAATTCAACCAATTTCAGTGTTACCAAAAAGGACCTTTATGTGTATAAAACTGTTAAACTATACAGAGAACGCCTATAATTTGTACACACATATTGGGCTAAGCCTACCGCAACTATGAACCAATATAGTTACAAGTATAGCCAATTGTATGAGCTAAAGAAAAACCAGTCACCTGCTTCAAAACAAATAAGCGACGATCTGGTAATGTTGCTGGAATAATATCACCATATACACGTTTAGCCTCTTCTGCGAAGAACTCAATGAAACTGGCTCCATAAGCGACCTGTAGATTGCCTGACTAATTGATACTATAGTACTATACAAAGCAATAGCAGTCCATCTGCAGAGATAATATATCGACAAGTACAGATTCAAATAAGATACCTCCCCGATGGCCTCTTTTAAAGGTTTTCCTTGCTCTAGGGTCATAAGTTGCCCAAGCTCTTCCTTGTGAATCATTAACAAATCAAACCTGGAAACATGATAAAAGTAATCAGCTTAACAAATCAAGATGTGAATGCAGTGCAAATTGTGATAGGGTGATAGCGAAGACCAAAACTTGGGTGAGATGTGAGCAACTGAGCATGTGGCCACTATGTAATAATATGAAGTTGAAAAATTATTTTCAAGAAAATGTAATAGTCAATAAAACAACATCCAAGTCTTAGTCGCAAAAGATTTTGGGGTCGACTAACATGATCAATACATTATATTGGAGATTTGGAGCCAACAAGAAAAGAAAGATAAAAAGATAAGATATGATAAAAAAGATTTTAAAAAAAGATCAGATAAAGATAAAGATAAAGATAAGATAAAGATAAAAATGATAAGATATAACTAGATAAAAAGAATATGCATAAAATAAAAAGAATAAAAGGATTAAGAACATAAGAAAGATAAAGATGATAAAAGGATAAAAAATATGATAAGAGATCAATCCTCCACATGCATCTCTGTCATGCACTTTGCTCTCTCCAAAGTCATACTCTATTCCAACCCAAGAAGAATCATATCACTCTTGACTCCTCTAATAGTCTAATCTACGTCTATTTGGGTCTTCCTCCCCCTCTCCACCCCGCCTCTTCCTCACGCCTCTCCACTCGTCTAACGCGTGCATCACTTGGTGTTCTACGCACAAGACCAAACCCCCGCAATCAAGACTCCCGCATCTTATCTTCAATACGCGCTTCTCCTATCTTTTTTCTGATAGTCTCATTCCTCAAGCGGTCTTTTCTAGTATATCCAGATTTCCCACGCATCATGCGCATCTCTGCCACACTCATCTTTTGAATGTGTCAATAAGTCTTACATTTTGGCCCCATATAACTATCCCGTGTGAGTTTACCTTGAGATAGCAAATGTACTCCCTCCGTCCCTAATCTTTCTCCCTTTTCGGCTGGGCACATTTATTAAGATAGTGGGATTTGTGTGGTGGAGAGTTGTGCAGAGGAGAGAGAAATGTGTAAGAATGTGTAAGAATGGTTGTGAACCACAAATTTTTTGCTAAAAGGGGGAAGAGGAGATAATTTTGGGACGGACGAAAAAGGAAAGTTTGAAGATAATTTAGGGACGGAGGGAGTATAAGTTACCAATCATCATTTTCATTTACCCCAGTGCCGCAAAGGCTCCCACCTACGGTGGGGTAAGGGGGGGTCGGATGTACGCAGTCTTACCCCTATACTAAAGCACAGAGAGACTGTTTCCGGATGACCCATAGTGAAAATCGCGTCCAAAATTGCATGGACTGACTGCTGCTTCATTACAAAGAAGCGCAGACAGTTTACTGAGCCATTTTGCTTTATTCCATCATAATCTCAAGCCAAAAAATAATGAATCTTTGGCTCTGTTGCAAATGATGGAAAAAATGTATAAGTTACCAATAAGACAAAAAAATGAACTGAAATGCACAATGAAGATACTAGATAAGTAGATATACATTAAAAAATAGGTAACATACTGTGAATTTCAGTCCTGCACTTTTAAATTTTGTCTTAATTTTGACCCAAGAAAGATGCTTTTGAAATGTTTCAGTTTTACTTTCCAAATTAAAAAGGTGTTGCTTTTGTTCACTTACAAACCCTCACATCACACTGGCATGTATACTAATGTAACATTGGTATATCAAGCACACTCTTATATGAATTTGGAACAAGTATCATGCTAGGTGTAGGCCGTGTAGCTAATGCTAATGAGCTTATAGGATCTTCATCAACTTCCAAGTGAGGGTTGCCCAATGCCCCAGACCATTTCAAAAACTAAATAGAAAGTTTTTGTAATGTACCACTACACTTTTTGTGATTTAAACTTTAGCACATCAATAGACTTTTCATCAGATATAGGTGAGGAAGAATTCTTAATATATCGAGTTTTTGGTGATCAAAGATGGTGGTCAACTTTTGCGGTGAGTAAATTCGAAGAAAGAAGTCTGCAACAAGATATAGTCAAGGCACGTACTTGGTTGCCTAAGAACCCAAAGTGTGGCCACTGGCCAGAATCCCCAGCAGTGGCCTTTGTACTATGGATTCCGAATTTCAGATGCCAGTTTGGTTGCATAAATCCACTAAAAGGATTCAAGAAGACTTTGTAAATGGTTTCCCACAACCGTATAGGATTTGAGCCACTATCATGCCAATATGCCATGATGGCAGGATAGAAGTGTCATGAGGTTAGAGTAAAATACTTAGAAGAACATGTTGAAAAGACTGATGAGAATTTAGAGGCCACAAAAGCTTTTTTTGAAGAACCTGGGATGCACAGTAGTCTTATAGGAAGGGAAGGACTATACTCGTCATTCTTGGTAAGTAGTCTATAGATGAAAAAGAGGAAGAAGTGGTTGATAGCAAGCCACATACGAGAAGAAAAGAGAAAATAAAACAACCCGAAGCATTTTTGGGCAGTTAGTTGTAGCCACTAAGCTGATTCTGAGGCCTATATTTTCTGCTCTATCCTACTCTCTTGCATTTTCCCATACATTCCTGCATTTTCCCATACATTCCTGCATTTTCTCATACATTCCTGCTGAAATATCTGTTTGTGCTGAGAGATTTGTCTCCATAGTCCATACAGACAGATGATTTATCCATATTCTGCAACTTTTAGAATATTCATTAATTCATACTCTCTTCCTACTACTTTACAATTTCTAGTAGTTGCTTTGGACACCTTGTGTAGCCCATTAGTAGAAGAAACCAATAATGAAAATTGAAAGAGTGAAAATGAAAAGGAAACTGAGAAGAAGAATGAATTCACATCCGCATTAGAAAGAAGAAAAAAAACTAACGAAAAGCAGAAGAGAGAGTACATGAGAATCATGCCAATTAAAATGGCTGGAGTTCAGTTTCAGGAGCTGAGGTCAAAATGTGAAGAAGCTACAATAGTTCAATCTCATTTGACCGTTGTAGCCCAAGTTCGGCTGCTTTAAGTGTTTGTTATTGCTTTTGTTTTTTGAAACAGTGCATCAGCATCTCATTACTTGCTTGTGTAGTTGATTATATTCAATCAAATTTAAATGATAACAAAACCATCAATTTCTTATTTTCCTTCACTTGCACCAATCAAAACAATTTTATGTTCACTTTTATCTTCAAAAGTATAAAAACAAAAAATTAAAGGACAAATAGAAAGAGCATAATTTTGTATTAAAATCCAGAAAATGAATAACTTCTACACAGCCTTATCATATGTCATACCATTTCCGTAAGCATTTGCTCCTTTCAGCAGCAGTGAATTGTCTCCACGCTTCAGCAATAAACATTGAATATATTAGGTCAAAGTATCAAACCAGTACATGGTAGATGCGAGAACAAGTAGGCATGGGATTCGAAAATACTAGACTAAGCTTAATTAACTACCATTTAAAAGCATATATTAAAAAAGTGGATTTCAGCAAAATTACAGATTTGGAGATGTTTGAACTGCCAAATCTAGGCCAGGTTGACTTGTATCGGCTATCAGTATATTACAAAAGGAGAAACAAGGGATGAATCACAAAAAATAACGAAACCCTTACAACAAAATGCATTGGATGCTGAAGTGATGGCATCATTAGTCTCTTTACACCCCATGAATGGGACCTCGGTTATTACCTCCCCTGTTGCAGGATTGTAAACCTGCCACATTGATTAACATGCTCTCGAACGAATATAGAGATCCAGATGTCAAAATGTAAAAATTGCTCGATCCTAATATTTATCTTTTTGAATGTTTTTCTTTTTCCTGTACCTATGTAAAAATACAAGAGTACGAAGTACGAACCTTTATAGTCTTTCCATCATTAGCATCAACCCATCTCCCTCCTATAAGGGCTTGACTTTTCAACAATCCAGATTTATCCAGGCAAGCAGCAACACTCGATGCTTCAGTACTCACCTAGCCATAAAGTTTATTTAAATTTCAAACTCTACTGAAATCAGTTGCTTAAAAACAATTCAGTAAAATATATAGGTGCTGAACTTGGGATTGCAAATTATACTCGTCTCCCATGACATACATATATCACACATTCACACCACTTGTTATATTATACTCCAGTCTCCCATGACATATGCTTTGAAGTACAACAACAACAACATCCAATCATTAATCCCAAAAGATTTTGGGGTCAGCTAACATGAATCGATCCATGATATCAGTGCCAAAAAGAGAAGACACACAAGAAGTAAAAGGAAAAAAAGAATGAGTAAGATAAAACGGATAAGATAAAGATATCTAAATATAAGATAACAATAACATAAGAACATAAGAAAGATACAAAAAAAGATAAAAAGAAAAAAAGAGCATAAAAAAGCTAGAAAATAAACATAACATAAGAACATAATTTTCCATAATTTTGAAGTCTATTCCATAAATTTCCATTTAGTTAAGCTTTAGCCTTCATGTTCATTTATCTATGGAATGAGCAAGTAGCAAATCTAAAATGGGGATTGAGAGAGGAAACGCCTAAATGGTATCACAAATATTTGGTGATTATTATCAGGGGCGGCCCTAGGGGGCATGGGGCGACGGCCCTAGGCCCAAAAAAATGGAAAAAAGATAGGACCAAGTTTAGTTCTTTAAAATAGGTGTGAGTAGGCTGAGTTTTTAACCTAAACTAATATTTTTTGGGTGAAATTTTTTGAGGTGCTTTCACGTGGATTTTTTTTATGAAAATTTATGAACATATTTTTATGAAGTGTAGATTATGTCCAAAAAGTTTCAATTTAAAACTCAATCTATAAGTCAATTAAATAAATTATTCAAAAACACTGCATTTTTTATGCATATTTTGGCACAGTGTTTTTCAATAATTTATTTCAATGACGAACCGATTGAATTTGAAGCTAAACTTTTTAAGACATAAGCTAAATTTGATATAAAACAGGCTCATAAAATTTCATAAAAAATTGACTTCGAAGCAGATTAGTCTGATATCATAATTTGATTAGTTAATTAATTTTTTGTATTTGAAATTGATTGTTTGTTTTCTTAATTGTTAATTGTTATCTATCGAGTGTTAGGTGTTATAATTTGTTGATTTTATCAAACAAAAAATTTCAATTATAATTAAATTTATAAGTTTGATTAATTTTAAGGTGTAATAAACATGATTGAATATGGATAAGATAAAGAAAAAAGAGGAAAAAGATAGAGAAAGCGGCACTAAGTAAAAACAGTTCAATGGAAAAGTTTGTTTGGGTAAAGAAGTCAATCTGAATATCCTCAAAATGAGAATTCAGAGGAGAAGAATGATTTAACTACCGAAAATGAAACGATTCATAATGATCACATCATTGGAGGTGAGAGTTTAGGAGTTGATAATAATAGATTTAATCCCTTAAATAAGATTAAAACATTGGCAAAGTCCACAAATAGGATCACCAGTGTTTCCTTCCTAAATAAGGATCACGAATACTATAATGCTATTTGTTTAGATAGAAGAGGGTTTTACAATTTTTTATAAATGTTTTGAAATATTATTATTATTAATATTTGAATGGTTATTATTATTATTACTATGCATGTTAGTTTAGACAAAAAAGTTTTACAGTTTTCTTAAGATTAGGCTCATTTAATTTTTCCGCCCCTAGGCCTTTAAACATACAGGACCGGCCCTGATTATTATTTGGTATATCAAACCATGTTATTTAGAAATACAACAACCCTTCATCAATCCTGGCTCCATACAGGAACTTGGCAATATTGGTGATGTGAGATGGTGAAAGGTGAGTATTTATTCTTCTCAGTTCTTCTTTCTTTCCTTTCTTTTTTCTTTCTCAGTTCTACTTCATTGTACTGAAAACTGCTAATGTGTTGACTAATTTATGGCATCAAGAAGGAGCTCTATGGTACTACATAGAATAAAACACCATACAAAGTGCAGTGTGAAGGATATAAATAGTTTGACAAGATGAATATCACACTTTCTGCTGCCAAATTTCCTTTGTATAAAATCACTATTGCTTATATAATATGGAGTATATGCATATATATATATATAATTATATATATATATGTATGACTTATATTATTAAAATTTTGTAACACATATTTATAAACTTACTAATAAAATTCCTAGTGACCAAGTGCCTCCAAATAATCTCTCGTAAACTGAGTAACAATTTAGTAACTTAGACCTCAAGAGCTTCATTCATCTCATTGGTGCCCTTAACTCATGAAAAAGTGTTACACTCCATGGCAATTGACTGAATTGATAGTACTATAGTAGCATGACAAAGTGAGAAGCCATGTGAGTTTACGCTAATGCAGTGATGAGAAAGTATGTTTGCAATGTAATGACTTCTTTGTCTTAGAAGAGTGAAAAGTCTTAAAGGGTGTTTAGTAAAAGCTGACATGTCAAAAAATCAAAAACTATAACACAAAAAGGACACAATTCCACAAGTGTGTGTTCCTTTGACCCAACATAATATATATTGTGTATTCTGATAGTTAGCTCCATCATATCTAATTGTATTCCATTTTGGTGCCAGGAATGTAACATTTCTCATTAATAGGGTACGAATGGGGTACAGTAAGGGGTTTTGGTACCAAAATGCTACATACAAAATAATTGGCTGTACCATCTAAGCATTTTACCCTAAAATGATACTACCTCCGTTCCTTTAAACTTTGCCAAAGTTGACCGGCACGAAGAATAATAAAGTAAAAACTGTGTGGTTGAGGTTTGTGCAGAGGAGAGAAATAACAGAAACCACAAAATAATTGATTAAAAGGGAAAGTGGCAAAGTTTTTTGGGACGTCCCAAAAAGGAAAGATGACAATTTTAAGGGACGGAGGGAGTAAAACAATATATTAGAGCTTAGATGCAAAGTTTGACTTTGAAAGTCTTCAAAGTTACCGTTTGACCGTTAGTATTTAAGATGAAAACTTATAAAGTACACTGTAATAAATTAACATTTCAGTAATATATACTCCGTATTCCATTCAAATATAACTATCCAAAATTATTTTAGTGTTCTAATGTGATTTTTGAATAATTAACAGTCAAAGTTGAAACATGAACATCAGCTTCAAGCAAAAAAGGTAATTAGAAATCATGCATAAATGGGGTGAATAAATGCTAATCGAGGATTACAAATAATAAATTTGACTGAATTGTACAGTCCACAATCTATAATCATCAGTTGCAATATGAGTTCAAAGAAATAAAGTACAGTTTGTAGTACGCAAAACAATCAAACTGAAGAGCAAGAGAAAAGATATTACCGAATACCGATTACAATGATCAATCTACTTATTCATCCTGGTTTAGTATTGGAAAGCAAGCGAAAATGGGAAACTTACCGCTCGAGCAAATCTGACAGGCATGTGAGCTGAGGCCGAGCGAAAAAGAAAGAGGTTGCGGCAGCTAGCAGGAAATGTCGCCATGCGAGAAATTGCAGACCTCATTTTCGCATCAACGAACTCCAGTCACTGCTTCAAGGGAAGCGGCAGTCTGTAGAAAAATCGGCACGGGATATATTTTAAATACTATCCTCCTTTCCATAAAAGTTGAAACAGTTTGAGTTTCACGTTTACAAACGGGCAACTTTGACTGTAATTATATTTATTTACATATTAGTAAACATTAAAAAAAGTTAATATATTGAAAATTTACATTAATACAAATTTATTAATATTTTATACATAATATTTTTATTATATATATTATTAGAAAATCGTAGTCAAAGTAAGGTGTGTGAATAGTGAAGAAATTCCAATGTTGCAACTTTAATGGAACGGAGGAAGTATATTATAGAAATCGGCACGGGATATAATTAGGGATATAATTAGGGGTAATTTCCCTGCCCCGTAACCACTTCATTACTCAACGGGTAATTTTTACGCAACCCATAACCGACCCAACGGGTAACGGGTAAAACTTCGGGTAACCGCAGGTAACCGCTTTATTAATCAAGCCATTAAATTTTGATATAAAAATAATATTTTAAAAGATGAAGAATGACATCCCCTAGATCACTCTACACTTCAAATCTCACTTTAAAGATTCGTATATCTACAAAACGAGAAATGAAGCAACTTAAATTAATTTGAACCTAAAAATACTTAATCTAAAAAATAATTAATCACGAAAAAAATATGATAACAATCAAACAAGTCTATTAAAATCTATTATGAACTTTCATTATACATTATAGTTAGTACATCTATTATTTATATATACACAATGGTTACACATCTAAAATCTTTTAATAGTTGTGAAACAAATAATAGATAAAAATATAATAAAAATATAACTACAAATAAACGGGGCGGGTATGGGGCGGGTAATGGAGCGGACATGTATAAAACCGTAACCGCCCCATTACCCGTACAAACAAAACGGGTATTCCCCGCCCCATACCCGTTACCCGGTCAATGCGGTTTTCCCCGTTTTGACAGGGGCGGTTCGGTGCGAGTATCCATCGGTTCGGTCACAATTTCCATCTCTAGATATAATCCGCACGCTGTTTGGAAGTGTTTGGAACTGATTCTGCTCCTGCTTCTGATTCTAGGAGTAAATTAGAGCACCAGAATCACTTCTGCATTTTCACCCAAACACTCTAACTTTTGCTTCTGTTCTCTGAAGAGCAGAAGCAGTTTTAAGAATCAGATCCAAACACCCCCTAAAAAGGTTCAGAGATTCCTAAATATGATTAATTAGTGTAACGCTTTTTGCAGTATTTTGTAAACTTGATACCCCCTCCGTTTCTAAATAAATTTCCAACTTTCTTTTTTCGTCCGTTCCAATTAAAACTTCTACTTTTCCTTTTTTGTAAAGAATTTGTGGTTCACAACATTTCTTGCACGTTTCTCTCTCCTCTTCACAACTCTCCATCATACAATACTCACTATCTTAAACTGTGTGTCTAACTCATTTGGAAGTTTTAATAGGAACGGAGGAAGTAGTATTTTCTAAACTTGAGAGTAATTAATTTTATTTTAAGAATACAAAAACATTAAAATCCTATTTTAGAATTTTCCCTTTAAATAATAAATAGATAGCATATCGTATGATTTGTTAACATTTTTAGTTAATATGTAAATGATTGCAAATAGTATGCATGTAAATATGTAATACACAAAAAAAATTAAGGATAAGATGGATGTGACTCATAATTGGTACAAAGTACATTTTGGAATAAGAAGTATTCCCTCCGTTCCGCTAAGATTGTCTCATTTTACCTTTTCGATCCATCTTCATACCAAATTTGGCAAAGTTTGTATGGCTCTAAATCATTCTTATTTTATTCTTACTTTATTAATTCAATATCATCCACATAAACCACTTTTTATTAATTTGTGTGTCACTCCCTCTTGTTCTATTGTTAGTGGGACAGAGGGAGTAATCAATATATACTCGTATTACAATAAGATTTTCATAACTCACATTTATAAACACTTCTTTTAATTTTTAAACAACATTGATCATATGGTCGATTTGTTTCTCATCTTCATCACAAATCAATATTTTCTCTCTTACGATTTGATACTCTTAAAGTTGACCATACACAAACACTATTTTTTTTTAAATAGAGTCCAACATGCGACAAAAATTACATTGACTCTTATTTATAATCATCACATAAGAGATCAAAACAGGAGTTAACTCATGCTACCTTCATTCCAAAAAGATTGGTGAAATTGATTTTTTTTGTCAATGATGTTAAAATTTAGACAATGATATTAGGTATTATATTTGTGTGTGATCTATAAATTTTATACTTTATGAAATATTTTTTAGAACGACGGGAGTATTTTATTTTCAGTAATAGTAAAAAAGTAACAACTTATTCAATTATGGTAGGGTATTACATGTATTTTACTATTATCCGAATTTGTTACAATCTGATTTAATTTGTTCAAAAAAACAAACTGCCGCAATTGCTTAAACTCATCACTGATAAATGACGACTGAATAACAACTTTGACGATATGAAGTTATTGATGTAAAGCTTAAACGTGATAAACTTCATATTGAAAATTCGGACAGCCTTGATGAATACATATGCTATAAAACATTTATAACTACGTATACACGAAAAGAACAAAATGGTTCCAAGCTAACCATGATGCGTGCATATATTAGCTATATATGGGAGTTTTTTTCCGGAATAATGCAATTTAAATAAATATTTACGTAATTGTTGTTGGGTTAAAAGTATTTACGGATATACTGTTGGGGAATGACGACTTATAAGTCGCCAAACGGTTTGGCGACTTAGCCTTTAAAACAGACGAGTCGGATAGCTTTTCTACAGACAGAACGGATTGCAGCCCCAAAACTTCCTCCGGCAAAAAGCGAGTTGTAGGCGACAGGGAGCACCAGGGCGATTCTTTGAGCTATTCTCCGGTGATTCTTCGAGCTACTCTCTGGCGACGCCACCTTGCCAAGGATTCTCCACCTCCATCTTTTTCAACACTCTTTCTTCTAGGTAAATCAAACTCCATTTCATCTCATATTGAAGTTAGGGTGATGAATCAGCAGCATGCACGGGCATACATTTTGATGCTTATGGGAGCTTCCATTTTTGCTGACAAGAGTGTAAATGAGGTTCAGGTGCTACACTTGCTGATACTAGAGAGATTTGATGTAGTTGCACACTTCAGTTGGGGTAGTGCCACATTGGCTTATCTACATAGGCAGCTATGTCGCGGTTGCCAGAGTGGAAGCACGGAGGTCGGGGGTTTTCTGCTTCTATTGCAGATTTGGTCATGGGAGTACATTCACATTGTCCGTCCCATTATAGTACGATACCATGGGCGTGATGGAGAACCACTTCATGATCAGTCTCCGCATCTTCTTAAACCACATCATCGACGGAGCGAGGACCCACTAGGGCGTCGGTATGTTTTACTCGGTTATATTTATAATTGTAAGTAATTAATACAACTGTAAGTATAATATAGTTGTATTAATTATAATTGTATTAATATATATATTACATGAATGGTTAGATGGGTATTTGCTTACCTGTGTCGCACATCATCGGCTTCTGGTCTCGGTTTCTATAGGGATGCATTTGATCGCATGTCTGATGATCAGGTACGGTGTATGCAGTTTACATTGTTATGGTTTCATATCATTAACTATGTATTTCATATCATAACATAACATTAACTATGATATGAATAAGATTAAGACTAATTTTTATCCTTATGAAACAGATTACATGGATGCCATATAAAGCTCAGATGTTAGAGGAGTTACCCCGATAGGATGAGAGCGTTATGCTATATGGAGAGCATGTGTGCCGTTGATATACTTTGACATTGTTGAGCTTCATTTGCCTGATCGTGTTATGCGGCAGTTTGGCTATGAGTGGGTCATTCCAGCACCTGTTGACACATTTGTAGATCTTCATAAGCTGGATAGGTGTGGGAAGCCTATAGAGGATTGGTCGCTCAGACATGCCCGATACATGGCTATATGGCATAGGCGAGCGAAGCTCGTTGTGATTGGGACACCAACATTTGTCCCATCTGTTTCTGCAGACTATATGAGATGGTATTACAGCATCATGCAGGTGTTTGTATCTCCATCTTTCAGACTCCCTACTCACCATAATCAGCCTAGTTCCATGGCTTTGCACTTGACGGTGAGTGTTCTCATAATTATGAAAGTAATTAATGTTCTTTATTTAACATTTTTTATTTATTTCAAAATAATTATATTTCATTTTTCACATTTCAGACACAGGCTTTGCAGCATATACATGAGCGAGCGACTGCCACAGTTAGTGAGACGCATGACGTGGACACGTACCATCAGGTTCTAACGGGCATTGCTTCGTTGTGTTCGGATGTGTTGGGGCGAGTGGACTATGGCCATCTTATACATATGACACCCGCTTAGGATTCTACGCCATCGACATCTACATCTACAGCAACTTCTACATCTCAGACTCAGTGTGATAGAGTTGTTCTTCAGCCACGCCTCCATGATCAGGACGACCAAGAAGACCTTCAAAACTCGTAGCCTGTCTCCATTATTGAAGTTATTCACGTAGCCTGAATTTGTAGTTTTTTTTAATCTGTGAAACGATTTACTTTATGACGTATGTACACCTGCAAAGTATTGAATTTTAGTTATTTAATCATTTTCTTTATGTGTTTATGTGTTGGGTTATGCAAATGTGTTGATGTGCTCATGTGTTGAATTTTTTAGGCTTTTCTTTTTTATCTGTGTTTATGATCAGAATTTGTCAAAATGTGTTATGTTTTCATCTGGTTTCTGAAGTTTCTGGTTTTGCAGGTTCAGGGGAAAGTCGCCAAACGGTTTGGTGACTTATAAGTCGTCATCTGGTTTGGCGACTTATAAGTGGCCAAACGATTTGGCGACTTTCCCCGACCAGGTTAAGCCCAGCAGTATATCCATAATAAGTTTTAACCTAACCCTATTTCCGTAATTATTTAATTAATTGACATTAATTCGAAAAAAAACTCTATATACGGAGTACTAATTATACACATATAAATTTCGTATCCTAATAAGATTATTAAAAAAGGAAAACTATGTTATATACATATATGTTATACAATCGTGAGAGCTCTCTATACAGCACTTCATATTAATTAAGAATCCTAACTGATACGTTTGTAATTTCCATATGCATGTTTGTGTTTTTAATTAGTTTTGCTTGATCTTTACTATGGAAATTACACACTTTTGGTGTAATAGATTAGTTTGTTAAATTCTTGTAAATAGTTTAGATTAGATATATTCTGAGCTCAAACAGGTCTTGATCACTCAAAGTACAGTTGGTGAACCCAAAGAGTGGAAAGAAGGTGCAAAATTTGAAGACAAAAGAAGGATCCTGAATTTTGGTCTATACTCGGTCGAGTATTTACTATACTCGATCAGGTATTAGGTTGAAACTTCAAATCGGATCAGATCCGAAGACAAGGGAACATGCCGGGAGGATTTCGGCCACGATTTAATGTCTATACCCGATCGGGTAGACCGACATACCCGATCGGGTATGCCTTTGAGTTTTAAACGAAGATCGGTCGAGTATGGTCCGAATAACACTTTCTAAGCATACTCGACCGGGTATAAACATATACCCGATCGGGTATACTTATGGAAAATGGCCTGAAACCGATCGAGTATACCTCGAATCGAGTATTACACACATACTCGATCGGGTACCATGTATATACCCGATCGAGTACCCGAAGCCCATCCCAAAAGCCTATAAATACATCTCCTTTCCTTCACAAAAAGATATCCAATTCCTTTGTACATCTAAGCTCAGTATAGAATAGTTCTTTCTTTATATTTTTCATCATGTTTAGTCTCCAAATGAGGAGCTAAACTCTTCCATCTTGGTTTTGCTACTTTGAAGCTTAATGAATTTGTAAGTTGTGAGTTATTTTCTTTAATCTTCTTCCTTGAATATTAATTCTTCCTTTAAAATACTATTTCTATATCAAAGTTGGGGAGTGTTACTAAGATGACAATTAGTTAACATCTTGACATTGGTTATAGTAATAGCTATTTCTTCCTCTATGTTAATATTGGGGAGTGTTACTAAGATGACAATTAGTTAACATCTTGATATTAATCATAGTAGGATTCATATTCTTTAATATTCTTCCTTGAGTATTAATTAATTCTTATTCATATTTCATGTTAATATCTTAAACATTACTTAAAGTATCAACTAGTATTGTTTCTCATATTAATTATTACTAGAATCGATCAGTTAATACGCTTGTTATTAATTCGGTTCTTTCAACGGTAGTAAACTTGGAATATTAATGCATGCATCTCATGGTTAATATGCCAAGGGGAATTAATTATATTGATTGAACCAATAAACCGCTTGTGTTGAGGTTATCAATCTCAATCGTTTTCATCTTAAGTTTATTGCTACTATCAAGTTAATATACGGCGCTTGTTCTATATTGACTCGATAGTAAGTTTTATTAATGAACGCATCTCGTTATTAATAACTACCCTCGATGAACTGGATATACTCCTCGATTGAGTATTCGAGAGGAAGATAGTTAAAGATATAACCGGGATCGACGAACATTTCATTAAGTGGATAAAAGCAAAACCAAGTCATCATCTCATTGAATTAAACTCATATAGGTTGTTTATCCTAGTGTTTTTAAATCAAACAAATCTAAACCCCCCTTGTTACTATTTACATAGAAGAAAAGTGTTCCTTTCCCTGTGGATACGAACCTTACTTCGTTATACTACGTATATTCGTTGTATTGTATTTATTTTGAGTGCACCTCACGACAAGTGCACGTCACTAACCATATACTCCGTAAATTGTAAGTATAGCATTGCATATGAATCCTATTAAAAGATAGTCATTATTCTGAAATATTCAGGCTACTATTTGTTTTATGAACTTTTTGTTTGATTTTGTTGTGATGAGTATGTCTGGATTTGAAATAGAAAGGCTTGATGAATGGCAGAGGTACCTAGTGCACAATATCAAAGGTAAGTAGAATTTTTAAGAATGATATAAAGTTTGTTATATTCAATAGGCTAATACTTAATAAAGATTGCAACCTGCACTCAAGAAGTTAAAACTCCAAAATAGTAAATTATTGTAAAAACCACTCACATATATATACCACAAAAGTATGTAATAAAAGTGCAAGGTGAATTATAGAGTATTTCACAGGACACTAAACAAAATATGAAGAGAGAGATGCACCAAAACAAAATGTTTTTATAACTCCAAAATAGTAAATTATTGAAGAACTTACTACGTCAAATACATTGAACAGAAACATAAAGAATGCACAGTGTGTAGTAAGTAAACCCATGGCCTTCTCTAAGAGAAGTTTCGGGATTTTGAACACATCACTCACATGTTCCCAAAACTGTGAACCAAGGATTTTGCCAAAATAAATATAAAAAAAATGTGCCAAAATGAACCAAGGGTACACATCAACAACCATTACAAGGAAAAGATATAAGCAACACGCACAGGTAGCTCAGTTGGTCGAGTGGTGGGAGATTTGGATCAATGGACCAAGGTTCGAATCCCCGCAGCGACCGGGTGGAGGTCAAAGAACCTGAAATAAGGCTGAGCCTCTGGTGCGCACGGATGTATGGGCCTACTGCCATTCTGCTGATTGAGTCACCGTGACTAACCTCCCCACCATCCCGTCGGGTCGGGGTGGAGGGGGCTCCTGGGGTGGGAGATTCCACCTTTTTTTGGATCAAAGGAAAAGATATAAGCAATCTGAAACTTTGAGATGACATATCCAAGAATCCTGCCAAAATAAATAAACAAAACTGAATAAACACTGAAAAAATGCACTTTTCTTGGGAAATTTCAATAAAGGGTTTGGACCATTTTAAGAATTGTAGATAGCTACTTACTATAACAGTGGAATGAGTTTCATAATCATCCATGTTTTGCTTGGCCGAAGAGCAAGTATTATTCGCTAATCGAACCTGAAAAGGAAACAAAGAGTTTTCAACCCAATGCGATAAAGACAAATAATGGTGTAATGCAGGAATACCTAGGACTCTACATACCCAGAATACATCACTCAGAAATATCTTCAATAGGTCAATAAGTTTATGTTATGAACCAAGATGGTGTGACAAAGATCATTTATATCATATTTCTAGTCTCACTTTCAAAACCAAGAACTAAGAACGTTAAAGGCATTTTATAATTAAATTAGATAGACCTAAATATTGAGGTTGGCCCTGACGTGTGCTTCATTTGATGACAACTTGCATATATATATGTATATTTTTTTGAAACAAGAGATTCCGTATCTGGCTTAAAATCAAAATGCACATAGGCGCCCCATCAACAAACCTAATGCGATTTTTACAGACTAAATTATAATCCTCCATGTTTTCATAATCAGATACACATGTTTTTTATCCATAATCTCAAGCTTAAACGAATCCCTAATATTATCACCCAAAAGGGCCTTTTCAGTATCATCAAAAGAAGGAACGAAATAGCAGAATTTACCAATTAAAGTAAACTTGAACCATCCAGAAAGCTGGTGAATTTTGCTGATTGGAGTTTGTGGTAATCTGCCGATTGGAGTTTTAGAGTCCTTCTCTAAACGTTTCAATTGAGTCACCGATAGAATTGCTTAGGGGAATCAAATGTGATTTGATCAGCCGGACCATACCCTCCTTTTTCTTGAGCGTTATCAAATCTCTGGGCCCGAATTTCAGCAATAGGATTGTAGGTAGAGCCCTTGAGAGTGTCACAACAATGGGATTTCACTGGAGTTTAGCTGAACCGGAGAGCATCACTCATTTCTGGAGCAACACTATGAAAGTATGAATGACGCGTGCTAGAATTTTTTCCCTCTGCGATTGGGTTGGTGAAGCACTGAAGCCAGCATCTCTGTTTTTTCTATATTAATACCTCATTCCAAATATAGTTATTTGCCTTTAATTCCTCCAAAATAGGTAAAAACACACAATATGGCTGACGCAAAAGTAGAAGAGCGGATGGTCAAAAGCATAAGTAAGAATCACTCAATATGGTACCTTCATAATAACACATTTCTTTAGTCAAAAGCTTTTATAGTAAAAAAGATTATGTGGATAATAGTGTTTGAATTTTCAAACAAATTAGTTTGTTTGGAAAATAACACATTAATTAATGCTAATAGTAGAGTTCACTAATCCAATAAGTTCCCTTCCATATCATGAACACTTGATTAAGGTTACGTGGCTCTACTTTTGTAAGCAGATGGAGAAAAGCACAAGTAAAAACCTAAATTAGACAGCTCCACAATTCTCTAATAATCACTCATTATGGCCAGTTTATAATAACACACTAAAAGCTTTCAAATTCTTAACTTTCGTGCGAGTTAATAGTTTATAAAATGCTCCCCAGATTTAATGGTCATATAGTAGGACAAATCTTTGTCATACAAACAAAATGTGAATACTCACAATCAAAACTAAAACTTTACACTATATTTTCTAAACCTGAAAGGAGTATATTTTCTAAATGTACTAAAACATTTAAGTACACTGTGATGGTAAAAAAATACTATTTGCTGAGAATGTTCAAACCAACTATTTAGTTTGAATGAAGTAGAATAGTATTCTTAGATTATGGGAGGGTGTTCCGTGAGAACACACAACTTATCATGAAAGCATTCTGGAATTAAGCCATAGAGCAAATTGAACAAGTATTTTTAAAGTTCACTAACAAATTGAACAAACTATAAGTTTGTTCAAAGCATTAACACCATGTCTAAGTTTGTGCTCTCGTGGAGTATATTTTAATATAAATGTAATACACACTCTAATGCAAGTACGGCAGCCGCCGCTCACCTCCTTTAGTTTTGGTCACAACATCCAAAAATTTGCAAAGAAATTGTCAAAGCATCTAATTTATTTTCTTATGAAACAAAATAAATTAGACCGATTCTTTAAAGGATTGGAATATCATCAATGAAATGAAATGGCTATTAAATTGAAAAATTTTGAAAGATGACAGAAATCTGGATTGGGTTGAGATAGGGGCCATAATCACTCGGCCCAAATGTTGAAAGATCGCAGTACCGTAGGTGCATTACAGTATTTAATTTTGACCAGACATGATATTGCTTATGTTGTGAATTTAGTATCTCAGTTTATGCATGCTCCTCGTATTACTCATCTTCTTGCAATCAAGAGAACTTTTAGATATTAGCAAGATACACTAGATCATGGTTTGTGGTTTCAGGCCATGACTAAGGTCACCCGTATTATTGCCTATTAAGATGTTGACTGGGCTGCCTGTCCAGATACTTCTCGTTCCACCACTGACTTTAGCTTTACTGTTTTCCTAGGCCTCAATCTTGTTTCTTAGAAGTCCAAAAAGAAACCAACTGTCTCTAGACTTCTACAGAAGCGGAGAGTATCGAATCATTATCTTACACTGTCCAGGACATATTGCATATTTGATTACACGAGCAAAAGGCTAGTTGGGTAGTGAGTTTGCCGGAGATGGTGGAAATGGGTGTGGTAGTCGGGCACTGGGTGCAACACGCAGTGCATGAGTGCAGTGGAGGTGGTGACAAGTTGGTCTAACGAAAAAGAGGGAAAATTGTTGGAGAAAATTGATCTGGAGAAGATGTAGCAGACGTGGAAGAAGTCAAAGTGGTGAAAGGAAAATTATTATTTACAAGAAAACAAACATGACGAATAATGTAAATCCTGCCAGAACTAGGGTCAAGACAACGATAACCTTTGTAATCGTAGGGACATCAGGCTCACGGTCTATCTATAAATATTTCACATGATATCGAGAGCTAGAGTTTAATTTGTTTTCCTCTTTTAACGCTAATAGTGTTGCCACCATGCATACGACCGCCGCCGCCACCATGCACATGCACTAACACAACCGTTTTCGTCTCTTCTTCTATGGCGGCAGCAACCGTTGAGTTGACCTCTCCTTCCAATGCAACCGTCACACACCCGACGTTGCCGTTTGCATCTTCCTCTTTTCAGACACCGCTCCACACAGGGGCGGAGTCAAGGGGGTCAAGGTGGTCAGTCGATCCCCTTGAAAGTTTGAGTGTATAGAGATCTGAAATATCTTCGATTTGATGTATTATGACCCCCGTAACTCCTTACGAGTAAAACATTATGACTTCTATAAAATCAGCAATATCTAAACGTAAAACCAGCAAAATTTAATGATTAATATTGATTTTTCCCCAAATTTTAAAATTAGAGTATAATTAACTCATTACTTATGTGACATGACTCAGAAACAGAGCAAAGAAACTATATCTTATTGCTCTGAGTGCCTATTCATCTAAACTACATATGAAACATTCAACTCGTACATTGTCTAAAAATGATCCATCATTTTGTATATAGTTATATTTTTTACCCTCCTGGGCCATTTTTCTGGCTCCGGCACTGTCCACACAAACGCAGCAGCAGGAATTGGCGGCTCTTATTCCATGTTCGACACACTGCCACCCACTTTCACACTAGCCACCCACTTTCCCATGGTAGTCAATCGGCGATGCCGATGACCGTTGTCCCTCTGCCTCGACCCACTTCTGGCTTTTTTGGTCCCACTTTTTCTGGTGCTCTTGGTGTGTCTAAGCCAACATATTATTTTCTTTTCTAGTCTCCCACAGCAGCCTTGGCACAATCCATTTCCTCGGCGTCTAATGTTACCAGATTGTTACTACCAAACTAAAGGGTGTGAAAGATTATCTCACTTGATGCACTCAGTTCGAATCATTCCTGGTTTTCCAAAGGTCTATTTGGTTTTGTTGATGGCTCCACCGAGATACTTTCGATCTATACGGTCGATTTTTGAATAATCGTGAAATCATTAATACCGATTATCATCATTGGTTACACGTAGATCAAACAATTCGTTCATGGTTGTTTGCTAGTCTTACTCGCGATGTATTAATTCATGTACATGATGTCAAACGTTCCTTTGGGATCTGGGATCGATTGGAAACCTATTTTAGTCTGCTAGTTATTAGCCATATCTATGGAGCTTAAGCGGCAAACAACAGTATTAAGGTTGAGAGAGGAAAAAATAATATTGTAGCCCTTGATACCATGTGAAATAATGGAAAATGATACTCCAATAGCAGCCCTCCCAGATATATTTATATTTATAATAGAAGAGTTGTTGAAATATAAAATATTTCTAAATAGATATTATGCAGATTCCTAAATAAATACTCCTTCCGTCCCTTAAAACTTTACCCAGTTTGACCGGCACGGGGATTAATAAAGTAAAAACTGGGTGATTGAGGTTTGTGCAGAAGAGAATTAACAGGAATCACAAATTATTTACTTAAAGGGAAAGTGACAAAGTTAGTGTGATATCCGAAAAAGGAAAGTTAACAAAGTTATAAGAAACATAGAGACTATTAGGCTATTAATTAGACAATTCTACTATATGAAGACAACATAACATGTAGAGAAAACTATCAAATAAGTCTCTCAACTTTTCAAAAAAATCAACTAAACCCCCTACTAAAAAACCGATCGATTAAACCCTCAAGTTGCAAATCCTCATTTTGACGGGTAATTAACAAGTTGCCCGGTTATTTTGTACGAACACGCCAACAGTTTTCATTTTTTCTTTTTTCTTTCTTTATTCCTATTCTTTTTTCTTTCTTTTTACTTTTCTCCTTCACCTTCCTCCTTCCATGGGCGGATCCAGTGTTATTCAAGATCGTTCACATGAACACCCAAACAAAACAATTTTATTTATCATAATTTAAGATTTTTCAAAAAATGTCGAGCTGTCCTAGATGCCGGAAGGGTGCTGTCTCCTTTAGACTCTAGTGGCCACCGCACGTCATTGCTCGATTGCAGCATTCCAATCGCCGCCGCCAGAGGAGCTCTATCGCTCGTCGTGAGTTCCATCTCCCTAGTCACGACTTCCAGATTCCCAGCCTCAGGATTTGCTCCATCTCGCGAATTGCAATGGTTTCCACCAACGGTCTAGTCTCCTTAATCCATGGGTTGAAGGTAAACGGTTCCACCGCGGCATCGTCTTCTCACGATCCTAGTTTTTGTAAATCTAGTACTCCGTATGAAATTTATAAATTCTTTTTCTAGTTCCCATTTTCCACTAGTCACTACTTATAAATTCATTTTCTAGTACTCCGTATTGGAATATATGATGTCAGGTTTAGTGGCTTGAAAGGATTCTATACAAATTGAATGTGTGAACTCTTAGAGTGTGTTTGGGAGTTGTGTTTTGGAGGGGAGGGGAAAGTTAATGGGGGGTTTATGACCCTCCTTTTCATGTTTGGGACTTTTCATGTTTGGGAGTTTAACAAATTGGAGAGGTGGTTTCAGAGGGCTTTTGTAACCCTTCAAAACCCTCCAAATGCTTAATTTTTAAGTTCCCTCAATTTGGAAAGTTTTGGAGGATAATTAACAAGATGGTAATTTTAAGCTACATTAGAAACGAATATCAGCTCAATGATCTGAATTCGTCATATCTCAAAGTGATTTTAATTATAATTCCTTCAAAACTCCTCTCCTTCCAATTTTATTACTCCCAAATACAAAGAAGAATTTTCTCACCCTCTCCTCCCTTTCCCCTCCAACAACGTACCTCCAAAGTCTTCCCCTCCCCTTCCCTCCAAACTCCCAAACATACCCTTAGGGTGTGATTGTGAGTTGAATTTTGAGGGGGAAGGGATGGAATGTGAGGGTCAATGACCCCCCATTTTGTGTTTGGGAGTTTTTTAAAATGGAAGGAAAGTGTTTGGAGTATTTTATAATCCTCATAAACCCCCTTTTTGAGTTCCCCCGAATCGGGAGTTTTTGATACGGCATGCGTTTATACCATCTGAAATAGCAACTCAGAAGGGAATACTCTACAAGAATAAAGCAAACAGCATTATGTTAGTTAAATAAAGCATCATGCATGGATCATTGCACTCCTTTACTTTTTAAAAATTAGTTAAATTACAAACACCGTATATAATATTTTCGTAATTTATTACTCCGTACTATTTAATTAGATATTCTGATATTCGTAGCCTTGATTT